CACTTAAAATATGACCTTAAGCAAGTTATATTACCTTTTTTTTTTTTTCATTTTGGTTGTCTCATTTGTAAATTGGGGCTATTAAGAGTAACTACTCCATAGAGTTTTATTAAAATTAAAGGGGCATCAACACATATCTTGCCATAAAGTTGGCTCCCTTAATTATTATAACCAGTGACAAAGTCTGAGAAGTCAGGGCTAGTCACTTTCCCCAGGCCTGTCCCCTGGCTGGTCACCGTCTGACCAGAAGATAATTTCCTTCTTCCTTGTCCCCTCTGTTGGATCTGCCACATCTTGCTGACTCATCTTTCTAGGGCCCCTGACAATCCCTTCCTTCCGTCCAGGCTCACCACCACTTCCTACTTTGGACCCCCATTATTTCAGGCCGAAACTGTTAAAACCACCTCCTAACTGGTCTCTTGTCTCCATCCTTCACGGAGTTGTCAGATCAATCTTCTTAAACACCGTTCTTATGCCACTGGCCTGCTCAGAAATCGTCAGTGACTCCTAAGGAAGCAAGAGGAAAGGCTCCAACGCTTATCCTCTACTGTGCCTCCCAGGAGAGAACCCTAACCCTCCAGACCTTCTCTGACAGGCCCCTCCCCACCTGTGCCCTTGGCTCCTCCCCTCCCCACCTGTGCCCTTGGCTCCTCCCCTCCCCACCTGTGCCCTTGGCTCCTCCCCTCCCCACCTGTGCCCTTGGCTCCTCCCAACTCCTGGGCGGTTATCTGGCTGTGTTGGGTCTTAGGAGGAGTGCAAGAGCTCTTTGTGGCAGCTGGTGAGCTTCTCTTGTAGTTCAAGGGCTGATCTAGTGCTGGTGCACGGGATTCGTTGCCCCTCAAAAAGTGGGATCTTAGTTCCCCAACCAGGGATTGAACCTGCATCCCGTGCATTGGAAGGTGGACTCTTAACCACTGAACCACCATGGAAGTCCCATTGAACTGTTCTTACCACTGCATTTGACCTATGCTGTCCCCTCCCCAGAACACCGCGTCCCTCTGTGTTTCGCCAAATTCTACCATCCTTCCAAGCCCAGTTCCAGTCCTGTGTTTTCCCTGCAAACCCTCCTGAAACTCCCAGGTACTAACCCTTCCTTTCTCCCATTTGGTCCCAGTGTGTCTTTGGGTCGCTCAGTCTGTTCGCGGATACTTGACCTAACTCTGTTGTGCCCGGCTTCCATGGTGGGGGCAGCCCTGCTCAGAGCCTCATTCCCACAGCCCTTGGCACTGTTGGAGGGAATCTGGCAAACCTGTGCTGCTTGATGGACTGTGGGAAGTCCTGGGTCAGTGGCTGCCCCTTGGCTGAGGGCACCTCTGCCTGCCAACTCCCTGATTTCTGACGCATCTTACCTGGCACCTTCTTTTTATTCCTGGTTGGATTTTCTCTCTGGGGCATGTGATCCTCAGCATTTTTTTGCTCCACAGAAGGAAAAGAAGGGATGAGATTCTGCTGGCAGTAGCTCAGCTCTGGTCAGTTGAACTGTGTGGTTAATGAGAGTGTGTGCGCACATGCGTGTGTCCTAGGGTGGACCGGCAACCCTCCTTGCTTCCACTGGTCCTTCTACATGCCTACTGCTCTTACCCTCCAGAGAATCCACACCACCAGATGAGTAGGCCTAGAGAGATGAGGAAACAGAAAGAAACAAACAGCCAAGTGTCCTTTCTCCCTCTCACTGCACATTGTAGCTCCTGTATCTGTGATGGTGGAGGGGCCGTCTTGGGTGGGCAGGAGACTCATCTACCCACGAGCTGACGAGCCACTGGGCTTGACCCTTAAAGGCTGATGTACAGTCTTGGAGGATGTGTGAATGTGTATCCGTAAACCTTAGGAGCATCTGTTCATACTTCCTGAGAGTCTCTCCTTTCTCCAAGACTCCTTACAAGGCCTCTTATTCTTGACCCTCTACAATTGCTGTTGTTTAGTTGCTGAGTCGTGTCTGACTCTTTTGTGACCCCATGGTCTGTAGCCCACCTGGGTCCTTTGTCCATGGCGTTTCCCAGGCAAGAACACTGGAGTGGCTTCCTATTTCCCTCTCCAGGGGATCTTCCTGACACAGGGATTGAACCTGCGTCTCCTGCATTGGCAGATGGATTCTTTACCACTGAGTCACCGGGGAAGACCGACCTCCTTGTCTCTATTTCCCTTGAATCCCCATTGCTTTTTATCTCTGCTTCTCATTTGCCACTTAGGTTTGTATGCCTTATACACAGGTTCCTAATCCTTCTGGATCCCAGAGGAAAGGGGTGACGTTTTATGAACAAGTTTCTTAGAGCCAGACATTTGACTCACTGCTCTATGTACAACATCTCATCTTGTCTCAGCAGTTTGAATTTAGAAAAAATTATTTATTTGGCTGTGCCAAGTTCCAGTCGCAGCATGTGGATTGAACCAGTGTCCCCTGCATTGGGAGCACGGAGTTCTAGCCACTGGATCACCAGGGAAGACTCAAGTTCTTTTTTTTTTTTTTTAAATCCCCATTTTATAGATGAAATAACTGAGACTCAGAGAGATTAAATTGCCTATGGCTGGCACATGTCCATCTGGGTTTCCTCTGCAGATTGTGGCATGGGGTAGGGGTGCTTACACATGGGAGACGTGTGGGTTATCATCATGTGACACCTGGACGCTGCCATATCTAAGGGCAGCGCAGGTTGAGGGTGGGTCTGCAGAGAGTAAGGTGTAGTGAGTGACGCTTACAAAGACAGCAGGAAAAGAGGGCCTCACGGCCACAAGGTGAATACTGGCCTGGCGGCATTGTCCACTGTACTTTCGATGGCTGGGTGACCGAGTCCCTGAAGGGTCTCAGCCATCACCTCCTGCTACCAGATACCCCTCCCACCACCATGGGAATCAAACGGGCACACGCTGGGTGTTCATCCCTGCTTTCTCATTAAAGCTCCTAAATATGCTTCAGAGAATTTTCCTTCTAATGCTCAGCCAGGGTTCAAAGAAAGGTAAAGAAATTGTTTTTGAGATGGAGGAGGAAGAGCAACGTGCAGAACAGTAATTTCAGAGTCTAGGGTAGGGCCCTTGGGATAGGGAAAACTTCAGGTGGGGTGCAGAAATGTGTGAGAGGTAAAGGGCATTTGGGCAGCCAGAAGACCCAGGAAGTAGGAGAGGAGAGGGGGGAATTTATTTACACCAGACTCCAGCCACTGAGGGCTTCCCCCGGTGGCTCAGAGGGTGAAGAATCCACCTGCAATGGATTCCTGCAGTGGAGACCTGGGTTTGATCCCTGGGTTGGGAAGATCCCTGGAGTGGGTTGCATGGCAACCCACTCCAGTATTCTTGCCTGGAGAATCCCCAGGGACAGCAGAGCCTGGAAGGCTGTGACTTTGTGACTCATGGGGTCACAGAGAGTCGGACACGACTGAGTGACTAAGCACACACCCAGCTTCTGATTCAAGAGTGTAATCCTCATCAGGTTTGCATCCTTTAACCTAAACTTTTATGAAGCCGGTTCCTTACACTTCCCAGTTCTAGGAATGAAGGTGTGAAGTCTTTTCTTTGAACTGGAGAGGCCCGAAAGACTGGCAAGGTCAGCCCCCGGGTACTTTCCCCAGCTCCAATCCCCAAGGCTTCCTGGCCCAGGTTCGCTCACCCGCGAGAGCCACGCCCTCAAGCGGGCACCACTCAATGGCCCTGGGACAGGACGGACTGAGGGCCGATGCCCAGGATGGGGCAAATGTGAGGCGTTCGGAGAAAACCCTCACCGCGGCGATGCCAAGGCTGGAGAAGCCGCGTTCCCGCCTAAATCTGCAAGATGGAAGTTGCTCCCTCTAGCTTTTCTACTTGCGAAGCCCGCCGATTTTGTAAGTGACCCCTCCCTTCGAGCCCAGGTCCATTTCTAGCATTCACGCCTCTCCAGAGTCTTGTTCATTTAAAAACGCATCTTAAAATGCACTAACACCTACATCTTCGGTCCAGCCCAGATCCGGTTTTGGGTAGCGCGTAAAGTTTACGAGGTGCTGCGTGTACCCCACCCCGGCACTCGGGGTGCGCGCGGAGCTGCGTGCAGGAATGTGCGCGAGGGCGCTGGGGGGTGCGGGGCAGCTTTAGCGCAGCCGAGAGTGTCAGATGGGCGCGTGAAACTGGGGTGTCGGGTGTGCGTGGGTCTGCCCGCGCGTGTCCGAAGCCCACTGCCTCTCGCCCACTTGCCAGAACGTGCCAGCAGCCTTACTTCTGCTTCAGCCCTTTCCCAGCCAGACGCCCCTCCTTTTTGGTGCTTCTGAGCGTTTACTGTAAATCCCGTGACTAAAACACGCCGGTGAGCCCGGCCCGTGGACAGATGGATCAATCGCCCCCTTCCCGGAAGGGGGAGGAGGGCCCACCTGGAGCCTCGGAAGCAGGGAGCTGCCGGCTGCCTCGGGAGAACTCCCCGGAGCCCAGCTCGCCGCCGAGCTTGGCGCGGAGACCTGCGTCGGTCCCGGGGCACTCCCACCAGGGTGGGGTGCGAGCCCGCATCCCCGATCCTTCCCGCGCAGTTCGTGGGAGGTTCGCCGGCCTCGGATGGGGCGGTCAGGACGCCCTAGCTCGGCAGCTTTCTTCCCGCACCGGGGGAGGGAGACAAGTGGGGAAGGGGGGTCTCGAAGGACTACGACGCTGGGGCGTGTGGGGGGCGAGGGCGCCGGGGGTGTGCGGGGAAAGTTCTCGAGCCCCGCATGAAGAGCACACGTGCATGCGGGCGCGGGGCTCGACCCGGGCAGGAGGCTGTGCGGGGACGCTGGCGGCTGGCGACGGAGGGGGGTCCTTCATCTCCCTTGCGTCTTCGGGGAGACGCTTGGCCTCGGCTCCTGGGTCGAAGGACGCCCAGCGGATGGTGCGCCCCCTTCGCAGACCCGGACTCCAGCGTTTTTTTTTTTCCTTTTCCCCAGCGCCCTTCCCCCTACGCCCCCGGTTTGGCTCGAGAGCCTCGGACTCCAAACCCTCGGGCCTCCGCTGACCCTCCCCAGGGCCTCCCGGTAGGGAGAAGGGGGAGGGAGAGGAGAGCGAGGGAGAGCCGGGGAGAGCGGGAGCAAAGAGCGAGCGCCGGGGAGAGGAGAGGGAGGGAGAGGAGAGAGCGAGCCACACGCACGCAGAGACACACGGTCACCGGAATTCCATTAGAAAAAAGTGACACGAGCAGGGGTTAGCGGGAGAAGATTTTTTTTGAATCTTTCCTCCGTCTTGTGCGAAAGAAGCGACTCGGGTCTCGCGTCCTCGAAGCTCCCACTGGATCGTTCCTAGGCGCTGACACCCGTCGGTGGATTTCTTTCTTATTTGCCTTTTATTCTGACCCCCACCCTCGCCACTTCCTTCCAGCCCTTCACTCTCAGATCGCCTCTCCCCCCACCTCCTCAGTCCCCTCCCGGGAAGCGCAGGGGAATCGGACCCGCGGGGACTCGCGCCTTCCCGGACGAGCCGAGGGAAGGGCAGACCTGAGGACCGGCTGTCGGCTTGAAGAGCACACACACACACACACACAGATACGTGTGTATTTGATTTTAGTGGGCAAGGGGGGCGTCGAGACGCGGCCCACCGCCCTCCATTCCCCCACCCCCTCCAGCCGAAGGCGAGAATCGCAGGACTCAGGATCTTCATCCGGCGGACTAGCTGGGATCTCCGCATTGGATTTGGGGCTGATTATCACTGCTTGGTTATTATTATTGTTGTTATTATTATTATTTTTTATCCAAGGGAGAAAGACAGAAAAAACTGTGGGATTTATTTAACATGATCTTGGCAAACGTCTTCTGCCTCTTCTTCTTTTTAGGTGAGTACCTGCGGGAGGCGAGGACAGCGTGTCCGCGGGAGCTTGGGGGCTGCGCGGCCGCGCGCGTTCAGGCGACGGCGAGCAGCCTGGAACCTTGGGGGGCGAGCGGGGCGCTGCCGGGGTACCGACCGGTGGGAAGAGCGCGCGGCGGGGCGAGCCGGGCCCGGCGCAGCTGAACCGAGCTGGGCCAGCGGCGAGGATGCGGGTGGAGGGACGCGAGCCGCGGCTGGCTGCGTACGCGCAGGTTTGGGAAGGAGACTTAGAACATCCAGACCATCCCCGCGCTCACGAACGCAGACATAGTCGCTCACTCACATCCAGTGAAAGAGCTCATTTCTCTCAACATAGAGGGTTCAAATTGCGGCAACTTAAGAAAAAAAAAAAAAAAATCCAACTCTTGATCTGGAAGAGAGAAGGGAGGGGACAGGCTCAGTGTCGGGGAGAGGAAAATCCTGCCATCCTACCTTTCCAGGCGGCTCTTCGAGCCGATCGTGGTGGAGGGCACGGGCTTCTCCAGGAGCTCCGGATGGACGTCTGTGGGGGCAGTCCTGGCAGCCACCCGCCACCTGCCAATCAACCCCTGGAAAAGACACCCCGCTTCCCACTCTCCGAATCCCTTCCCCGCGGCTCCACTCCCTGGAAGACTTTTCAAGTTTCTCCCCTCCCTGCACCCTCCCTCCCGCGCAGACCCTAGCTATCTAGGTGGGCGGGAGTGAAGGGTTTGAGCCGCAGTTCACCGCCTTGTCTTTGCCACCTTTGGGGCTGGGGGACCCGGTAGCTGGTGGGAAGAGGTGGGAGGGAGGCCAAAGTTTGCTTCCTTGGGTTAAGAAGGAGGGGGGCTGAGGGGAAAACCTGGCCTGAACAAAGGCTATTGCTCATTCTGTAAGCCCTCTCCCCCAAGGACAGGGAGGGAGGGCTGCCTGGGTGGCCCTGAACCCCGACTGTCTTTTTCCCACCCAGAATTCCCAATCCCTGGCCCCCTTTTTATGCTGCAAGAAATCTCAGCTGCTTGGGAAGCGGGTGTAGAGGGAGCGTTCTTGGGGGTGGAGGTGAGTAAAAGTGGGTGTTGGAAAGGCTGGTGCTGACCAGGAGTCCCAGGCCCGGCTGCTGCCCCAGTAAGTGCTCCAGAGAGAGGGCAGGCAAATGGTGTGTGTGTGTGTGTGTGTGTGTGTGTGTGTGTGTGGACCACACGTTTGCTTCATTGTGGATGCTGCTCCTACCACCTTGGCCTGCTGTGTGGCCAGGGTGAGCCAGCCTGCCCAGATGGGTCACGAGAGCACCCTTTCCCTCCTTGAGGAGGAGAGAGGGAAGGCCTAGGAGGGGGGTAGGTGCAGGCCATAGAAAGCCATGAGGGGTGTCCCAAGAAGTGTCTTGACTAGGACCAGGGATTCAAGTCCAGTCCCTGTTGATCGGGCCCTGGGCCTTCTGCAGCCCCACCTCCTCTTTCCCCTCCTGCATTCGTGGGGCCTTGGGGCTTTGGCCGGCTCTAGGGTGTGGCCTTCACAGTCCTGCCTCTGGGAGCCAGAGGTGGCTCTTCTCGGGATGGTGTTCTCAGGTGGGAGGGGCTGAGGGAGGAGGCTGGGATGGTTGCTCTGGGCCCCACTGAGCTCCTGCAAGCCTTTCCCGGCAACCCTCTCACTCCGAAGGGGCCATTATAAAAGCTGACCTTTTCTCCCACGGCTGATTTGAAAACCCAGCTTTCTGGGGCCAAGAATGAGCAGGGCCAAGAAGAAAAGAAAATTGTATTTCAGGAAAAGCAGCCAGACTGCTTCCTTCTGAGCTGCACACACACCCCAGGCCAGCAGGGCTCCCAGGTGTGGATGATGGCCCCTCAGTCATCTCCAGGTCCAGCCCCCCAGCAGAGGTGGGGGGTCCCAGCCTAGGGGCCTGAGGAGAGACTATCCTGAGCCTGTGGGGCGTGCCTGGGGTCCTGTTCAGAGATGGTCTCCCTGGTGTCTGTGACCCTGGTGGGGGTGGGGATGAGAGGAGGAAAAGTTGGGAGTGGGGGGTGGGGGTCACATCCTTTCAGTTCCTTTCTCTTGAGAAGCCCCTTCTCAAAGCTGGGGTGCATGTTGACTGAGTGACCACAGGACATTGAAAGGCTCTGTGTTAGGCCAGCTGAGAACGAGGGATATGTTGGTTGTTAAGGAAATTTCAGCCCCAGGGCCCTTGCCTGGCAAGGAGCCCACAGTTAGGAGTTGGTTGGAAAGTTGGCTTTGGGGAGAGGCTTTTCTGGAGCTTGAGAGGTGGGGTGGGCATTTTCAGTAGGGGATAGAGTGAAGCACGTTCCTAGGAGCAGGGGCCTTCGGTGTGTTCCTGCCAAGGTTCCGAGTGGGGTCTGGGCGTGGGCATGCCTTCCTGGCCCAGCCATCCTGACCTCCGGTGTTGACAAACTCAGAGAGAAAGTGAGATGGGGAAAGTGATGGCGGTGGGGACCAGGGTTGGTCAGAGGGCCCGCCTCCCACTGGCGTTCTCTCGCTCATCGGGGCATTTGACGGACCTGGACAGTTGTAGGTCTGTGTGGTCTCGCAGTCCCCGCTGTGTCTCTAAAAGCTGTTCCACATGTCTGTGCTTCCCTTGAGAGATCCGAGTTTTCTCCTGATCTAGAACTTGGAAACATCACCAGGATACCTTCCAACCTTTACTCACCTAGAATGCTTGGCCAGAGGCACCGGGTTGCCATGATTTCTTTCTCTGGCTGGACTTCTTGGTTCTGGGGGTCATGGCACCACTGAGAAGAGTCAGGGGTAGGTGGTGGTCAGGGAGTTTGGTTGGAAAACGCACTGACCCTCCTATGGAGCATCTCTCTGCCGGGAGCTGAAAGGAAGAGAGAAGCCCTTGCTATAGGCACAGGAGCCCAGGACTCTATAAGCATCGTCCCTTAGGGCTGTAGACCCACCTGTAGGGCAGGAAGGAAGTGTCCTTTTTGCCCCAGTTCCCTAGGCTAGTGTGCTGATGTTTAAGCCTGGGGAGGAGGCTGCTTTCTCCTTTCATCTCCCACTGTGCAGCCTCAGGTAACGCCAAGGTGGGAGGGGAGTCGCCTGCTGGGATGCTGGGGTGAGGAGAGTCAGTGGAAGGCCCAGGGCTGGGCCAGTCCTAAGGCTCCAGCAGCCTGGTACCTGGTTGGCTAGGTGGGACAGCAGGTACAGGTGGGGCCGGGTCAACAGAGCTGATCCTTGAGGGCCCTGTTGCACCCGAGTCCTGCTTAGAGACCCAGGAATTTGCTGAAGCCTGGCAATAAATCCCCCGCCTGGGCTTGGGCGGGAGGGCGCTTCTCCATCCTACCCTGGGAGATGCCTCACTGTCTGCCCACCTTCCCTGCTGGTTTCTTTAGTGGTCTTGCTCAAGCCTGGCCATAACTGTCAGCTCCTCCCGTCCTGAGGTAGAGTTCTGGTGGCTGGAGAGAGAAAGTCTTTTGTTGTGGACCCTGTGGACCCTGAGGTTTTCCCTAACCGCCCCCCGCCCCGCCCCCGTGGGATAGGCCTGGCCCACCAGGAGTTGTTTCATAGTTGCCTATCCCCTCCGTGGCCCTCTGGGTAGGGACAGGGGCGCAGTGCAGCACTTTGCCTCTAGGTGTCGCTGCCTCCCTGTGCTAGCTGCTCCCTGAGCAGGGCCTCCTGGGAGAAAAGAGAAGTGGGAGTTCTGGGTCGAAATGGAGGAGATTCTTTGGGATTAGGGGATGGGGGAGACTTCTGCCTAGGATCTTGTTATGTTTTGGGGCAGAATGGAGTGGAGGAAGCGCCCCCACTATCACTCTTCTGGTCTTGGAAAATTCAGTCTTGGCTCCGGGCCATGGCATGGCCTTTTTGTGGGGCAGGACCTGAGTGAGGGGCTTGGAGGGGCCCAGGGGACTGGATGATGTCTGTTTGGGGAGCTTGCTTTCGGAAGGACCAGGCGGCACTTTCTGTGCCTTTCCCCTCCGTATCTCCTTCCCCGACCCCTTCCCTGCCGAGGACGGTGGGTTTGGACACTGGAGGCCATGCTGGGGAGGGAGGGTCCATTTGCAAGGCCGGGGTCCGCTTGCAGCTGACTTATTAGTTGGCTTCTGGAAAGAGGGGAAAGAGAGACAGAGGGGAGAGGGTATCAAGGAAGGGTGGGGAGGAGAGGAAAGAGGAAAAGAAATGAGAGAAAGAGACAGAGACAGAGAGAGGTGTCTGTGGGAGTGGTGGGATGGAGTTGCTTGGCCCCCAGCGTTTTTTGGGGGGGCTGGGGTGGAACTTGTCTCCATGGTGGATTTTGTCTCTGGCCACACTGTTGCAGGATGGTGTGGCAGGCCGGGTCCCCCAGAGGAATGCTTCCCTCTGAGCTCTCCTCAGACCACGGGGTCAGGCTTGTCTCTCCCTGTCTCCTTATGAAGTCTGGGGACTCAAAATGGATAGACTGGGGGTCAGAGGGGCCGTTTTAGCCTGTGTGTGACCTTGAGTTGTCACGTCCCTTCTTTGGGCCTCAGTTTTCCGAGGGTGGAATGCGGGGACTGATCTGGCCTTTGAGAGCCTAACAGGCTGTGAGAGTTAACCAGTCAGCCTACTTGGTTCCTCGGCCAGACCTCTGTTTGGACCCGAGGTTGCTGGCAGGAGGCCTGGCTACTCTGAAACTGAGATCTCCCCTTGGCCTGCCCTAGGAGGCCCTGCAGCCGCCAGCTCTCTGCTGAGGCCGTGGGATCCTTCTCTGGACTCCTGGCATCTTAGACTGTCTGTGGTCTGGCTCGGGCCTCTGGCTCTTCTGGGCTGTGCTCTTGGGCCCAGGGCCGTGGAAGGAACCAGGAAAGGGTTGTGTAGGGCCAGGGCCAAAGACAGCTTTTCTTCTTTGGGGTCTGAGGAGAGATGGTGGTATCTTGGGCCCCTTTAGCAGCGCTCGCTCTGACCTGCTGGGGCGGGCAGCCTTGAGTCGGGCTCACTGTGCCGAGTAGAGCCAGTGTGGCTCTCCCAGAAGGGCCCCCAGGCCTGCCTCTGGGGTCGGAGACTGCGGCCCTCATTCACGCTTGTCTTCCCTCCCCACCACCCAGACGAGACCCTCCGCTCTTTGGCCAGCCCTTCCTCCCTGCAGGGCCCCGAGCTCCACGGCTGGCGCCCCCCAGTGGACTGTGTCCGGGCCAATGAGCTGTGCGCGGCCGAATCCAACTGCAGCTCCCGCTACCGCACGCTGCGCCAGTGCCTGGCCGGCCGGGACCGCAACACTATGCTGGCCAACAAGGAGTGCCAGGCAGCCTTGGAGGTGCTGCAGGAGAGCCCGCTCTACGACTGCCGCTGCAAGCGGGGCATGAAGAAGGAGCTGCAGTGCTTGCAGATCTACTGGAGCATCCACCTGGGGCTGACCGAGGGTAAGCCCTGCCAGGGTCCTGGGTTCAGCGGGAGGGCCTGGTAATGAGACAGACTGGCCAGCTGTGTCTCTTTCCACCTCCTGGGCAACCTAGCACCCAGAGGAGCTAACCATCTGACCTCTGGGGGGCCGATGTTGTCGGAGAGACAGACGAAGGAGGAGGTAGGGAGGAGAAAGGGTCAGGGTGGTGGAATGAGGGGGGATGGGGGTCTGGATGGGGAGTGAACCAAGGATGGCTGGCTGGCTGTGTGTCGTGGTAACAAGGGCAGGTGAGGCCAGAGTGCCCAGGTGAATGGAGAAGAGGACAGGAGAGAGAAGGGCCTGGCTGCGTGCTGGTGGAGCTGTGAGGTTTGCATGTGAGCAAACCAGCCCCTGCCACTCTCTGCTGCCCCTCTTCTGCCCACCTGCTTCCAGGAGGTCTGCCCTTCTGGTGGCTTCCTGACCCCTGGCCTGGCCTAGGCACCATCAGCAGGGATTGGAGGGCACGTGGGCCGCAGGTCCCAGAGCCCTAGGCAAGCTGTCCTCCAAGGTCCAAGGCCGAACCTGTAAGCCTCTCACCCACCAACCACCTCCCCCAACTCCTCCCCCTCCAGACTAGGGTGTGGAGGATTTGCAGGCCTCCTGGGTCGGACATTCATTTATTAATTCAACAGGTGTTTCCTGAGAGTTTCCTGGCTGCTACGCATTAATAGTCGAGAGCAGCTGGGGCTGCGTTTGCCTTTGTGGAGCTCCTAGTCTGGGGGAGACACAGATAAGTCAGGGACTCGTTTGGTGATGTAGTGAGTGCTGTCGGAAAGCACTGGGTGCTCTGGAAGAGCCAAAGAAGGGCATCTAACCCCTTTTTGCAAAATCTAGAGAGCCTTCCTGAAAGAGGCGGCCTTCAGGCTGAGACTAAAGAGTGAGGCGCAGTTACTTCGTGAAGGCATGTGGGGAGAGTGTGGGAGGTGTGGGACAGAGTTTGGGCAAAGGGTGGCGTATAATGCAGGTTAGCCGACCTTCCTTACAGACATGCAGGTAACTCAGTGGTGCGAAGTTGCTTTAGTCATGTCTGATTCTAGCCCACCAGGTTCCTCTGTCCATGGGATTCTCCAGGCGAAAATATTGGAGTGGGTTGCCGTGTCCACTTCCAGGGGATCTTCCCGACTCAGGGACTGAACCCTCATCTCTTTTGTCTCCTGCATCACAGATGTGTTCTTTACCACTACTGCCGCCTAGAGGCAGGTGGAAGTGGGGATGGAGGAGGAGAGATGGAAGGGGTTTGGATCTGATGAGCAGCACGCCTAGGAGGTTTTATGTGATGATCTCGGCTTCAGGACAAAGTTCATGTGGTTCCAATAGGAGAGCAGATTGGAGAGACTGGAGGCCACTGCTGTGGTGCAGGCTAGGAACATGGAGGCTGAACGAGGACAGTGGTAGGAAAGAAGGATCTAAGAGCTGCCCAGGGGGTGGAATCAGCAGGTCTTGGTGAAAGGCCGGAGGAGTCAGGGAGGGCCCCCACTCTTCTGTGTGGGGCGGCTGAGTGGCTAAGGGGGCCTGTCGTGGCAAAGGTGTTGAGTCGGGGGAGGGCTGGAGATATGCATTTGTTTTGGGGTACATGCCCCTCATCGGCCCTGCCCTATAGACAGCTGGGCGTGCAGGGCTGGGACTCAGGTGAGGAAAGGGGAGTGGACATAAGGATTGAGAAGTCGTGAGCACAGACTTCCCTGGAAGTGATAAAGACTACGCCTTTCAATGCAGGGGGTGTGGGTTCGATCCCTGGTTGGGGAACTGAGATCTCACATGCTGCAGAGTGCGGCCAAAAATAAATAAAAATGTGGTAAATCAACTACAATAAAAAATAAAAAAGAAGTCACCAGCAGCCTGCGGGTGGTAACTGGGGCCAACGGACTGGGTACAGTCACATTGGGAGGGGGTTAGGAACTGAGCTACTGGGATCACTGCCATTGAAAGACGGGCTGCAGGGGTGATGAGGAGGCTCTGGGGGTGAGGTGGGAGGGAGCCCCTTGGGAGGAGCTCACTCTCAGAAAGAAGGAGGATCAACAGCCTCCAGGACTTGGGGCCCAACAGGAGAGGGATGGAGAGTGTACCTGGTGCCCTTGGGGTGAGCACCTTAGGTGGCCCCTGGGAGTAGGAGCCTGCTTAGAGGGGTGCCTGGGAGCTGGGGAACTGGAAATGATGACTGTGGATGACTTCTTGAATTCTGGTGTGAATATAAAGGGCTTCCCAGGTGGCTCGGTGATAAAGAACTCACCTGCCAATGCCGGAGACAAAAGAGACGTGGGTTCGATCCCTGGGTGAGGAAGATCCCCCGGAGGAGGGCGTGGGAACCCACTCCAGTGTTCTTCCCCGGAGAATCCCATGGACAGAGGAGCCTGGCGGGCTGTAGTCCATGCGGTCGCAAAGAGAGGACACGACTGAAGCCGCTTAGCAAGCATGTGAAGATAGAGAAGAACAAAGGATGCCTGTTTTTAAAAAGAGAGAGTCGAGTAGTTTAAATTCTAAAGTAGGACAGGAGCGATGGAGAGGCTGAGGTGAAGAAGAGAGAGGGGTGTGATGTGGAACTGTGTGCTTGGGGGAGGGGAGATGTCAGCCTGGACTCTGAGGGTCATCACCCCGCTTCCCCTGCCCCAGCTGCTGGAGGGGCAGGAGGAAGCTGGGCCCAGGGTGGAGGCTGGATAGTGTTGAGTTCCTGACCAGTGGCTCAGAGGTTTCAAATTTGCCCTGAAATTAGGAGTAAACAGGCTTGGAATGATTAACAGTATTACCACCATTAGTAACATAGTAATTGTCATGAGCTGAGTGGTGACTTCTCTGTTGCTGGCCACCTGGAGTCCTAGAGCTTGCAATTAGCAAAGAGAGGGAACTAGCCAAAGTGAGGGGAGCTCTGTTCTCTGTGAGACAAGGAGCTGGCTTCCCTGACCCTCCCAGGCTGCCTCTTGCACAGAATGTACATTTATCACAAATAAGACTTAATTGTTTAACTTCTTACAGAACTCACATAACAGAAACTGACAAATCCATGTTTCTGTTTAGTTGCTCAGTCACGTTGGACTCTTTGCGACCCCATGGACTGTGGCACTTCAGGTTCCTCTGTCCCTGGGATTCCCAGGCAAGAATACTGGAGTGGGTTGCCACTTCCTTCTCCCTGTGCAAAGAGCAGTAAAGGCCCCGATTCAACAAGCTGGTTTGTTTAGGTTTTTGCTTTCTTTCCACAGCATTTAGTTTCAACCCAAGGGAGACTGGGCAGAAGGTGGGTGGGCTTGCTGTAGGTGCAGAATGGGAAGGGAGGGGATAGAAGAGTTTAGGGCTAGAGAGCTGGGTGGGCCACTGGAGACCCTTCCCATTGGACTGGCACCCTCGGCATCACCACATCAGTGCACTGGGGACCTTTGCTTGGAGCCGGGCGGTGAGGTGTTTTGATGACAACAGTAAGCATAATATGCATTTTATGCTGCCTTCTGCCACGTCTTCAAGACCCTTTTAACCCAGGAGGGCTCTGACTGTAGAGTCTCTGGATCCCAATGCTTGAGATGGTTTGTTGGTTCATTTACTCAACAAACATCTGTTAAACACCCACGGTGTGGTTCCGGGGGCGAGAGCACCGAGGAAGCCGTGGGCCCTGTGTGGGCACCTACAGTCTGGGAGGCCCTTCTTTGGGTCCACTCTACAAAGTCAGGCCCCTGCTTTTCTCCTTCCTCAGAACCATGCTCCCTGCCCCTTTCAGGCTGCTCAGTCCCCTCCCCTGGGTCTTGGGGCCAGCAGTTTCTGTCCAGGGCTGACTGGGGAACCCAGAGGCCTTTATTAATAACAGCAGGTGGCGTTCCTCTGAGGGACAGAGTCTTCTAGAGAGGGGACTCTTCCTGGAGTGGGAAGAGTGGTCTCCCGGGAAGATGCAGGCACTTCCTGTTCCTTGTTTGTGTGCGTGTGCTAAGTCACTTCAGTTGTGTCCAACTCTTTTCAACCCTGTGGACTGAGCCCACAAGTCTCCGCCATCCTTGGGATTCTCCAGGAAGGAATACAGGAGTGGTTGCCATGTCCTCCTCCAGGGGGTCTTCCTGAACCAGGGATCCTTAACATTCTTGATAACCTGACTTGGGCCTGGGTGGGTGAGGGGATCAAGGAGTGGAGAGACTCACGTGGGTTTGCACTTAGGTTCTCGCTTCTCCAGGGTCCCTACTGGTGGATGCAATTCCTGGAGACTTGGTCCCACCTTTTGCCTCTGAGAGGGAGGCCCTATCTGTCACCTCTCCACCTGAGGCTGAGCTCATTGCATGGACTGAGGACCTCAGCGTGTGGGCAGAGCTGGGAGCCGAGCTGTCTGTCAGTCTCAGCTGCCAAGGGCCTCGAGATCATTTTAGCAGGAGGCTGAGATGCAGAGAGGTGTGGTAAGCCTCCCGGGGCACACAGCAAGCTGCTGGTGGGACCAGGCCCCTGACTCCTCTAAGTAGACCCCTTTCTGCTGTCCTGGAAAGCGGAGACATCACTTGGCCAACAAAGGTCCATATAGTCAAAGCTATGGTTATTCCAGTAGTCATGTATGGATGTGAGAGTTGGACCACAAGGAAGGTTGAGTGCCAAGGAATTGATGCTTTCAAACTGTGGTGTTGGAGAAGACTCTTGAGAGCCCCTTGGACTGCATAGTCTATCCTAAAGGAAATCAACCCTGAATATTCATTGGAAGGACTGATGCTGAAGCTGAAGCTCCAGTACTTTGGCCACCTGACACAAAGAGCTGACTTGTTGGAAAAGACCCTGATGATGGATAAGATTGAGTGCAGCAGGATAAGGGGATGACAGAGGATGAGAGAGTTGGATGGCATCATAGACTCAATGGATATGAGTTTGAGCAAACTCTGGGAGATAATGAAGGACAGGGAAGCCAGGCATGATGAAGTCCATCAGTTTACAAAGAGTCAGACATGACCGAGCACCTGAACAACAACAAGGAAGCAGGTTTAAATACTATATAGTACATTTTAAATCTTAAAAGATGANCAACCATCTCATGCTCTGCTGTCCCCTTCTTTTGCCTTCAGTCTTTCCCAGCACCAGGGTCTTCTCCAATGAGTCGGCTCTTTGAATCAGGTGGCCAGAGTTGTGGATCTTCAGCCTCAGTCCTTCCAATGAATCTTCAGGGTTGGTAGTATTTATTTAAGAATTTGGTTTTGATAACACTTTTTATTTTTGGAGGCAGTATTCATACTGGTTAAGTACTTGGACTCTGGAGCCAACAGCCTGGGTTTGAAAGCTAGCTCTGCCACTCACCAGCTGTGTGACTTGGGCAAGTGCTGTGGCATCTCCATGCCCCAGTCCCTGATCAGAAAAATAGGGAGAATAAGAGTGCCTAGCCCCTGGGGAAATTAAGAGGATTAAATGAGTTAGTACATCTAAAGCACTTCTAATAGTGCTGGTATGAAGAAAGCACAGCATAACCTTGTCGTTGTTACAAAAGTGCTTCCTAAGTTCTCTCGTTATTTGTTCGCACCGGCTAGCACGGCTGGCATGCCAACCCCAGGGAATTTCTCCAGTGTTGGTGGGCAGACGGGAGAGCTTGCTGAGATCTTGCAAGCCCGTGATGGCCCTGCAGGCCCCGGGGGGAGGTGGGATTGGAGACAGGCCTGGACAAAGGAGTCACCTTTGGATTAGGCAGGTTCCAGTGGGCATCCCCTGTGCGTGAGGCGCCCTGTATGCTGGCTCAGGCGAGGCCTGAGGTGCTCTTGTGAGGTACAGTGGAGGGTGGGGCCACTTCTCCGGAGGCATGCTCTTCCTTCATGCCCTCTGGGGGAGAGTCTGTACCCTTTTTTGGGAGGGTCATCCTCGTATAGTGGAGAGATGCCTTGTCCCTGGACCAGCAGAGAGCTGGTCAGGGGCTAGCCTGTGGGTGACTTTGGGGCAGATTCCAAGACTGCCCTCCTGGAGCCTGGCCCCTTCCTGCAGGTGGCCCCCAGGGGTGGACTTCTCTTTAGGTGGTGAGCTTGCCTGTGGCCGTGGGGCTCAGGTGGACAGGAAATCAATGTGTGAGGCTGTGGTCATCACCTGTCTCCCCTGCCCCCCGCATGCACACACACTCTGAGTGATTATCCATTGATTTCTCCTCACCGTCATGTCCGTCTCGAGGATCTTCCCTTTCCTGCTGAGTCACTGGTGGAGGGGGCAGGAGTCCCGCTGAGGTGGTGGTGGGTCTCCAGGGCAGTCACCCGCCATTTATCTGCTGTCACTCATTCACACCCTCGAGCCTCTGGTGCACCCCAGAGCCTGGGGGAGAGGCAGCAGGTCGGGGGGAAGACAGGTCAGGAGGCATACAGGAGTCACTGGTCAGGCCTCAGCCAGTCACTCCTGGTGACATGGTGGGAAACAGTGGGGAAATCCTGTCCCCTTAAGCTGGGGTATGGGCTTCCCAGGTGGCTCCGTAGTAAAGAATCTGCCCACCAGTGCAGGAGAGGTGGGTTCAATCCCCGGGTTGGGGAGTTCCCCTGGAGAAGGAAATGGCAACCCACTCCAGTGTTCTTGTCTGCAGAACCCCATGGTTAGAGGAACCTGGTGGGTTACAGTCTGTGGAGTCGCAAAAGAGTCAGACATGACTGAGGATGCATGCACCCAAGTAAGCCTGGGCAGAGCCAGCCTGGTGTGATGGGAGAGGATGTTAGTGTCACGGCCAGGTAGCTCTAGGTCTGCCTCGAGGAGCTGTGTGATCTCAGGCAGGTTGCTTCACCTCTCTGGGCCACGTCAGAGCACTCTCCTGTGAAATGAGGAAGTTGTACTAAATGACCTGGGATTTGTATAATACCTGGCCTTCCGTGGGCTATCAGGGTTCCACCTCCCCCGTGTCTTCTTTCCAGAAGCATACGGAAGTCCTTACAAGAGGCCGGTGCGTGTGGGGAGTCACGAGAGAGCTGTATCGGGCAGTCTGATCTGCTCTGGTTGGAGAGAAATACCTCACCCACATCAAGTGTGCAGTGCTTTGGGCAGGATGTGAGCCTGGCCTGACACGGTTCTTTCTTCCAGGCGAGGAGTTTTATGAAGCCTCACCCTATGAGCCGGTGACCGCCCGCCTCTCGGACATCTTCAGGCTTGCTTCAATCTTCTCAGGTGAGTGGGCTTGCGCTGGGGCCTTGCCAGTCCTGCTCAGGTCCCCTGGGGCTGGCAGATCGAACCCTGGGGCTTGGGCGAGATGTCCGCTTGCCAGGAAGCCCCTGTACACCTCTAAGCCTGGGGTCTGTGTCTGTAAAGAGAACGCCATGACACCTTCCCCCCTTCTCCTCACCACCACCAAGGTTGTGTGTGGCCTAAAGCATTTATGGGAATGGCCTAGAATGACCTGCCATGCTGGAGGTCTTGAATCTGACATCTGGTATGGTTTTCCCATTTTGTCACTCATCTTGCCTGGCGGGGTCCTTCCCAGCTGTTCTGCTTTGGTAAAGTTGCTCAACCTCTCTGTGCCTCAGTTTGCTCTTTCAAGCAGAGGGGAGGGCACCTGCCTTGTTGGATGGTTGTACAGTCAGAATGAACTGATGGTTGACCTGGGCTCAGCATGCTGCTGGGCTCGTGGGAGCTGTTAGTTGATGTGGCCTGTGTTCCTGTCACCGTCGTCCATTCTGTTGGGAAACTCTCGTCTCCCCTGGGGGCTCTGCTTCTGAAATCCCTCTGAGGAGAGCCTCTGCTCCCTGGCCGCTCCTGCCTCAGACTGCCTAGGAAGGGAGAAGGCTCATTTGAGCTCCAGTTTGCTTGCCATGGTCTGTGTGTAGGAGCCCGGTGAGTTTTTTTTGGTTCTTTCTTCTTGATCTTGTTCCCTCTGGCTTTTGGGTGACCAATGGGCCTAGGGCAGCCTACCCCTCCTTGGGCACTGGGGAGGGCCTTCTGGTCTTGGAAGCTGGGATGAGCTTCCCGGAGTCACCAGTCATGCTTAGAGGGGACCAGGGTGGGCTTTCTCACCAAGACCTGTGAGTGTAGGGCCCCAAATCTCAGGCTTCTAGGCACTTTGTGACAGTATGTGAAACCTTCCGAAGTTTCTTTTGCACTAAACCGAGGTTTCTCAACAGCAGCGCCGTTGACATTGACCTGGGTAATCCTCTTTGTGGCAGAAGCTGTCCTGTGCATGTGTGGTGTTTAGCTACGTCCCTGGCCTCTACGCACTGGATGCCAGGAGCAGCCCCCCAAACTGTGACCACCCCGTGCGTTTCCAGACACTGCCACTTGTCCCGTGTGGGGCACAGTCACTGCCAGTTGAGAAGCACAACTCTAGACTGCGAAATGAGACTCTAGGGAGACCCTCGGCCCTTTCCAATGAAGAATCCTCCAGGACAGTGTTTCCCAAACTTTTTCTTTTTTTCATTGTTGCCCCTTTAAGGAGAAAAATTAATTCTCAAGAGAGAAATAGTCTCAATCTGCTGGGGCTGCCAAAAAAGAATATCCTAGACTGGATGGCTTAAATGATGGAATTCTATTATCTCACAGTTCTGGAGGCTGCAAGTCCAGGGTCGAGGTTTCTGGCAGGTTTGGTTTCTGGAGAGGGCTTGCTTCATGGTTTGCAGACAGCAGCCTTCTCACTGTGTCCTCACAGGGTAGCGGGTGTGGATGGGTGGGAAGGATGTGGGGGATTGGAGCAGGGAGATAGAAAAGAGGAGAGGGGAGAGAGAGAGAGAGAAAGAGAAAGAGAAAGAGAAAGAAAGACCTCTTCCTCTTCTTATGAGGACACTAATCCTATTGGACCATGGCCCCACCCTTATGACCTCATTTAACCTTAGTGAACTCCTAAGAGCCCTGTCTTCAAATACAGTCACACTGGGGGTTTAAGGCTTCAGCATCATTAATTTGGGGTGGGGACACAATTCAGTCCATAGCCAATGCCAAGTAATAAAATTTTGTCAGATAGGCTTGAGGTCTGGAGGGCCACATGCCACTGTCATATCTCCCCCCCCCCTTTTTTTTTTGCTTACCCAGGAGCCCATTTTTGCTCCTTTAGGGCTGATACCCTCCTTTTCTCTTGAGAAGGCATGCTCTAAGGGATTAAGAGGTGGGGATACACATGTGCCTGGTGGGAGAAATCCTGGGACCCATGAAAAGGGAGGCAGTGGCCAAAGACTAACCATTTGGCTATGCCCTTAGGCACTGGTATGGCAGGGGTGGCTGTGGATGGAATGGTGACTTCACCGGTGGTCCCTGCATGGAGCGGCCTGCCCTGGGCTCTCACTCTCACACCCCACGATGGGGTGATGGCAGAGGTACCCATCTTGTCTCTGTTTATGGCTTTGTGATGACTCTGTGATGAGTCTTGCCCATCTCTAAGGGGCTGAGCTCGCTGATGGACTGACTGAGGCCCCACCTGGCACAGACATTTGCTTCTCACATCTCTTGATTAGTTTCAGATAGAAAACCACCTTGGGCCACTCTTCTGGAGGCAGTGCTCGGGGCCTCCAGCAGATTGAGGAAGTGGTTGGCATGTGGATGCTGTGATGGGGAAATGCTAGCAGCCTCACCTACCCGTTTCCCACCCCACGCCAAGCTGGGGTGCCACTGCCTGGGCGGGAGCCATTGGATTTACCTCCAGGGAAGAAATGGCTTTGGCTTGCTCCCTGGAGGTTGAAGGTCAGAGGTCCTCACCGGAGCTGGGACCGCCACTGTCTCCTGGACTGACACTAAGCATCTTCCTGGCAGAAAATCTTTCTGTAATGGATTTGGCATTCTGCGGGACAAGGAGGTTGACAAGACAAATGAGGAGATTGCTGGTCTGCAGCTCACTCAATCAGCATCCTTTACCTGCTGCTCAGACATAACTGGGCCCTGCACGACCCTGGATCCCTGGGCTCTGGGGACCACTCCCCACGGTGAGGACAAGGCTCCCCCTCATTGCCCCCGCTGCCCCTGCTTCACCCAGAGCAGCTCTTGAGTTGGTGCACGGGTGACTATCTGAGGGAAACCCGGCCACTAAGAAACCAAGCAGACCGTGGTGGGGGCACGCAGCAGAAAGAAGGCTGAGTGGGGAGCTGGGAGCCTGATTCCAGAGCAGTCTCTGCCACAGTTCAGCTGATGGGCTTGGGAGGTCACTTCCCTGCTCCAGACCTTACGTCTCTTTTCTGAAGAAGGAAGGTGTGAGCTTAGAGCCGGCTTGACCTCATCCAGGCGCACAGATGACGGTGGTGTTGTTTGACATCTATAGGATGGAGCAGAGCAGATTGTAGCTCAGATGGTCATGGCCATTGCCTGGCTGCCCAGGAGGCTGAGAGGTCAATACCTGGGCAGGTGTATGACCCCCCTGTGGCTCGCTGGCTGGGGAGGCCCGGCCTGGGAGACCCCAGGTCCTGCACTGATGCTTCAGGATGATAAGGTTGCCACCCAGTACAATTGTATGGAGCACTGCCCCCTACCCTTCCACATGTTTATCTGTGGCCTTAGGCAGCCCCCTCCA